AAGCGAGGAAAGCTCTCTGGGAGCAAACACTTTCATCAGTAAAGATATTCCCTCTGCTTTCACTCTCTGGCTGAGTTCTTCCTTTCCTCCCCACTCCACCCTTCCCCCCCTGCCTTTTTTAAAAACTAGATAATCTAATTGGAAGCAGATGTAGAGGGGCACTGTATTCTGATGGGGCCTACCTCTTTTGCTGAGATAAAAACTGAACTAAGCTCTTTACCCTTTCCTTTATCTTTTCCTTCACCCTCCCCTGCTATTGTTAGATTCATAGACCCTTAAAGCATGATGAGACCCTTTGAGACCATTATTTTGTAGATGAGTTATATAACGCTATGTGATGTTATTAAGCATCATTTCTCTTTCCCATAGTCTTAAAATCTAATGGTGTGTAGCTCTAATTCTTTTGATGATCTCTTTTACAGAAACAGAAGTACTGCCTTACAAAAGCCCCACATCATTTCATTATTGGACTAGGACTTAGATATTAGGAGTCTTGATTCAGCATCTTGAATTCTTCCTTAATGCTTATTTTTCTTTGCCATAAGTTCTGAGAATGAATTGCTACCTGTTCCATCTCTGAATGAGACTGGATGTGGCACATTAGAGCAGGTTTCTGACCTATATGCTGATAATGATAAGATACCAAGGAAAGCTACTGGCTACAACAAAACAAAACAAAAAAATGTGACCGTCTGGCTTTAGTTAGCAATTAGGAGATGAGACCTCAATGAGGTTATGATAGATGGATTACTGAAGGGTAGTCATAGTGAAAACTACAAACCTTTCTATGAAGAAATGCCTTTAAAATGAAGAGGAAGACAAAAGATGACATAGAAAGTCATTAACAGCTCTGTCATTGGAATGAAAGGGAACTTGAGCTGGAGAGCCAGAAGCCCTGTGAAGTGTGGTCTCTAGCTGGCTGCATGGTACAAATTATGGTTTCTGCAGTAGAATAAAGTCTCTGCAGAGAGAATGTTATTATGTTTCACCCATATATATTCTCTAAGAGAGGATGGGTCACCCATATATGTTCTCCAATATGACCTCTAGGTGCTTTTATTCAATTCAACAAGCATTTATTTCATCATATTTTAATTCATCTTTTGTTTTTATATCACCTTCATTTCTTAATGTGTCCCTCCCCCTGCCCTTCTCCTCCAGTCTATCCCTTGTGACAAGTATTTAAAAAGAGGGAAAAAACAATTTAGCAAAACTAGCCAACACATCAACCAAGTCTAACAGTATATGTCATAATTCCCCCACCTCTGCAAAGAAGTCAGGGAGGTGAATTTTCTTAACTCTTCTCCAGGCCCAAGTTTGTCAACTAGCATTTATTAAGCACCTACTTTGTGCCAGGCTTTGTGCTGGATGCTGGGGATACAAAGACAAAAATGAAACAGTCCCTGCCCTCAAGGAGCTTACATTTCTACTAGGGGGAAACAACATGTACACAGGTAAGTAAATACAAAGTATGGATAAAGTAAACACATAGGAATTTTGGGGAGGGGCATAGGAGGGATGTGTGGAGAGGACTAACAACTGGGGGAATCAGGAAAGGTGCCTTGTGCCACTTGAGATGCCACTTGAACTGAACCTTGCAAGGAATAATGGGTCCCGAGAGATGGAAGTGAGGAGGGAGAGCTTTCTAGGCATGGGAGATAGCCATGTTGTGTGTGCAGAGTTACAGGGAACAGGGAGTGGTTCAGTTGGACTGGAACATTGACTTAATGGGGGAGAGAGAGGCTGATGTGTAATTGGCATAGAAACATGTGGCTTTAAATCACCAAACAGAGGAATTTGCATTTTATCCTGGAGGGAAGAGGGAGCCACTGGAATTTCTTAAGCAATGGAAGGATATGATCAGACCAATTCTTCAGGAATACTAATTTGGCAGTTGTGTGGAAGTTGGGATTGGAAAGGGCTGAATGTTTATTGGGAAACAATTGGAATGGTTCAAGCTAGAAGTAATAATGGTATGCACTGGAGTGATTGTAACGTGTGTTCAAAAAAAGAGGATAGAGCTGAGAGATGTTGTAGTGGTAGAATCAGCAAGACTTGCCAGCTGGGTGGGGGTGGGGTATGAGTGAAAATGAAGAGTTGAGGATGATTCTTAGGTCCCTGCACCTGGGTGACTCAAAGAATGTCATTTCCCATGACAGAAATGGGGAAATAGGGAGGAGGTGAGTTTGGTGGGAAATATAATGAAACTTGTTTTTGATGTGTTGTTTAAGAATCTGCCTGAGGGCCATCCAGGAAGATATCCAACTGCCTGTGGGAGATGGAAAACTAGAGAGAGCTAGAGAGAGATGAGGACTAGATGTGTAAATTTGGGACTTCTGCAAAAAGACAGTAGTCGAATCCATTGGAATCAATTAGATTGGTAAGATTTTTTGGTAAGAAAGTTATGTAGAGAGAGGAGTTGGAAGGTAGGATAGAGCTCTGTGGTATAGGCATTCACAAGGCGTGGGAAATAGATCATTAGCCTACAAAGGAAATGGATGACGTTGGTTTGCTATGAGGAGAAGAGGAATGAGCAAAGTCATCGTAACTCAGAGAGGAAAAAATAGCCATGAGAATCAAGGCATTCAGCAGTCTCAAATGCTGCGAAGATGTCAAGAATGATGAAGATTAGAAAGGTTACTGCATTTATCAATAAAGAGATTATTGGTGACTTTGGAGGAAATAGTTTTCAGTCAAGTGGTTGAGTCCAAAGTCATATAAGTTGAAAAATGAATGGGAAGTGAGAGAGCAGAGACAGAGTTCAGACACTTTGTTTGTTGTCTAGGAGTTTGGTTGTGAAAGGGAGAGTAAGGTCAGTGTTTTGAGGAGATGCTAGGGTCAAGTGAAGTTTTTTTAAAGGATCCAAGTTGGGGATATCTGGTTGTGTTTTTAGGCCTCAAGGAAGGAGCTAGTTGGTAAAGAGAGGATTGAAAATTAGGGAGAGAGAAGAGATCATCAAAGGGGCAATCTGCTGGAGGAGACAGGACCAAGGGCCTAAGCAGAAGGGCTTGCCATGTCTAGGAGAAGGATTACGTCTTCTGACATGAGAGAAAGAGAGAAGAAATGAGAGCACTGAGGGGATTTGAGGTATAGAAATGGGGGAGAAGAGGGAGCTGGTGATGTCTCAGTTTTTTTTCCAGCAAAACATGAGATACATTCTTTTGTTGAAGTGAAGAGGAGAGGAGGTGGTATGTGATTTGAGGAGAGATTTATAATAAAAACCATGAGTCCCTTGAATGGCATTCAGCAAGTAGAAGCTGGGGAGAGTGGTGAGAGTAATCTAGGGTTAGGGTTTGGAAAGCGATAACGATTGCTAACACAAGGGAGCAAGGGACTCCAGAGGACAGTGTAAATTTGACCTGGTTACTAGGGTCCAGATTTTAAATGTTATTTTGCATGACTTCATATTTGTAATGGGTTTTGTGTTTCTTTCCCTCTCACAATGGGTAGGAGAGGGGGTGGGGGGAGGAGAAAAATCTGAAATTGAAAATAGAATTGTATTAAAAATTTTTTTTTAAAAGAAAGATTTTAAAAGGAAGGAGTAGAGGCCAGAACAGATCTGATAGCCTGGGGAAAAGAACAAGGAGTGGGTGGCATGACTGGAGATGTGGGGAGGGTTGGAGAATAATTTCGGGAGGTATGAAGCACAGAGACAGGGAAGGGAGAGGAGGATTATGATCAAGAGAGAGAAATTTAAAAATTAGGCACAGTGGCTGTGATGATGAACTCAAGGGTCTGACCATAATGAGAACTGAGGACGTTGATGAGCTGGGAGGCATGCAACAACGTGTAATTTGAAGTATATGAGCAGCAGTTGTAGTGGGGAAGAAAACTATGAGCCCAGCACTGAACTGGAAGTAGGATCTAGATAGAGTCAGATGGGGTGAATCTCAAAGGAGGTGAAGTTGCTAAATTCTGGAGGCTTAGGGGAGGGTCTGGAGGCGGCAGCGAGGAGCGCTGTTCCTTTTGTGCCTATTCCTTCAACTGGACGGTATGTTTTGGAGCATAAGGGAAAGAAAGTATTTTCAGTACTGAAGAGGGTAGCCAGGGATGCAGCATTTTCTTAAGAGGAGCCAGACTTTTATGATTGCAAAAAAGATGCGCAGTATGTGGAAAAAAAGAGGCTTAACATGAAGGAGAGTTTGTTAACTGTAGAATGGAGTTTCTATGGGACACATTGGAAAAAGGGGAAAGTGTTATAGAGATCCAGGGCTTGTAGGACTGGAATGGGTTTTAAGGGAGCAGAGAATGGTAGCAGGAGGAGAGGCCTCCCAGCCAGTCAGGCAGCTACTCTGAATTACAGGAATTCTGATTGGAGAAAAGAGTTTGCCAGCTCTAGGACAGTGGACTGTTTAAGATACTTAATGTTGGTCTTTTGTGTTTTAAAAATGGTCTTATTGACTCCTTGTATTTTTTACAACATAATCGTTTTCTGATATATGCTCCTGTCCTTCTCGCCTTCTTGAATTCTCTCTTGTAACAAAGTAACATAGTTAAGTAAAGTAGCAAAACTACCTCATCCCATAGTGTGTACAACCTGCTTCACCTGTAGTTCTTCACTTCTGTTCTCCGGAGCCACAATTGGTCATTGCATTCAATCGGAATTTTGTTGGCTTTTTATTTACATTATCGTAATCATTGTATAAATTGTCATCCTGGTTTTTTCTTTCTTTATTCTGTATCAGTTCATATAAGCCTTCTCTTATTTCTCTGACTTTCTCATATTCGTCATTTCTTAGGCCACAATAATATTCCATTACATTCATGTGCTACAGTTTGTTCAGCCATTCTCCAAGTGATGGGCACCCTGTTTGTTTCCTTTTTTTTTCCCCCATAAAAAAATTCAGCCACCTTGCAGGGCTATAAAAGGAGCAGGTTATTTATTCTATAACCATGGTGAGAGGAAGAGAGTATGTGTATGTTTAATTGTTGGGGGGGGGGACTATTCATGTAAAGTTTTCATAGAAGGCTTATTCATAATAAGCTCTTTATCTTTCCAGACTTATTCTGCATCGAGAGAAGCACTTCCATTATCTAAAAAGAGGTCTTCGACAGCTGACAGATGCCTATGAGGTAAGTATATCAGCTCAGGAGCACTGGATTTCAAACTTTTTCAACTGATCAGACTCATAATCAGATAAGCCTCTCTACCCACTTTTTACCCACTGAAAGCCTCCTGAAATTGTCTTTCCCAAGGTTGTCTAGTGTTCTATATTGTTCTCATTGTAGGACTGTTACTGCCGTTCCTGTGTACCTATCTCCTTTATGGGAGTAGGCCAGGTTGTTGATCCCTTTCCTTTCCTCATGTAGCTTCAAAAGAATGTCTGGGGTATTCCATCTGGTTAGGCTGCCCTGGTTTTCAGATTAAAAAAAATCAACAACAAAACTAGGAACTTTTTTGGTGTCCGCCTAAATTTTGAATATCATGGGCTTTTTGGTATCCTTCTTCTGTTGTCCTTGTCTTTGGGATATGAGCTTTCTGCCCTCCTTCATCCTGTTAAATATTTCAAATACTTTTGTGAGGTTATTTTTTGTGTTGGGCCTGTTTGACGACCAGGACATTTAACAGTAGGTTTTACCTAATACAGAAAGTCCTTTTCCCTTCCCTGTGCCTCTCTATACCCCAGCAAGAATGCCAACAAATTATTGTTCTCCCTTAGCCTTTGGAGTTCACTTACTGCTGATTGATTTAATGTGAAATCCGTTGGTGTATTATTCCTTTGTTACTTCGATCAGCTCCTGGCCAAGGTCACAGCTCTCCAGAGCCATTCTCCTTCATTTAGTGATTGTTATCGATAGGGTACCCTGACCTCTCCCTCACTAGGCTGCTTGGCGTGAGACGGATGACCCCATAGCCGCCATGTCTTGGAGCAGCATCAATGGGAAATGTGTTTTCTTCCCTGTCCGTTTCACAGTGTCTGGACGCTAGCCGCCCCTGGCTCTGCTACTGGATCCTGCACAGCTTGGAGCTGCTCGATGAGCCCCTTCCTGAGTCGGTGGCTTCAGAGTGAGTTTGGCTTTAGTCTTCTTCAGTTTAGCTTTTGGGCTCTCTTCTTAATTTTGTGTGAATTTTTTTTTATGTGAAGAGTCAGGAGATTACAGAAGACAATTTTGCCTTCTCCTTGATATTTAGGAACTTTCTAAAGTTCTCCTCCTTTTCAAAGGCCCAACGTGAACTTTTAGGTATTCCAAAACTTAGGAATCCACTAGGAGGGTTTTTGGCTTATTCTGTGGCCTAATCTGTCGATCAGCTCGTGGTCTTTAAGAAGTAAATTGGTCATCAGCTCTGATCATTTAAGTATAAAACCATGATCTTGGTAGAAAATGGGTAATGAGTTTCAGTTACTGGTAGTATTCAAGTAGGGACTCATAGGATAGGATCATCTCTATAAGGGATATTATAATGGAGATTATTACTATATGAAAGGAGATTGAACTGTGTGACCTTTAAAATGTTCAGATTCTCTGGTTCTAGGGTTTGTATCCAAGCCTGCCTTCTTTGGGGAAGCTCTGCTAACTCCTAGTGAGCAGATCCTTTACTCTTCCATAAGTATAGTCTGTCCCTACAATATCTTTCACTTTAGGAAAGTGGCAGTAACCTTTCTGGTAACTATATTTGATAGTACCCAGTGGTCAGATCCCTCTGGAACAGGCCCTTTATTCATGATTTCCTTAAATGTTCCAGTGCACAATTGGAGACTTAAGAATTTGTGAATTTTCCTTAGTGTTTTGTGCTGATGGTGTTCTGCGTTTGATACTTTTTATTAGAACATTCCCACTGTTAAAAAATGAGTTCTGCAGTCTTGGGAGGTTTATTTTGATTTTTATTCCTAATAACAAGCTGACTCAGGAATTGTATTTGGTGCTTGCTTGTATTGAGCATAGTGAGAAATCATACTTTCCTTTGAGGAAGATTAGTTGTGGTTTTATGGAGTGTTACAGCTGGCGAGGGATCTTTGGTGTCATCTAGTCCAATGTGCACTCTTTAAGACTCTGAGTTATAGGACTCAGGAATGGAAAGGCTCTCTAGCCAGGTTGATTTTTATGCATCAAGTGGAGGCAGCTGTGCCAGGATACATGGAGTCCAGCCGGTGCCCTGGCCTAGGTCACATTGTCACGCCACAAGAACAGAACTGCACATTGTCTCATTCATTCTTTCTCAACAATAACCTCCCATTCTTGCTTTCCTGGGTGTAGGGTGTCTTGTGATGAATGCGGATGGTGGGGATAGTAAGGAATTGCACTTTGAACAAAGTAGGGGGGAGGAGGGGGAGTAAAACAATCTACATTGTCTCCATCATCATGAGGATGCTATGAGCCAAATTTCTCTTAACAGTGGAAGTGGAGTTGGCAGAACTTCTGAAATAACAAGGATTTATTTGTCAAAATAAATGCCTGTGTACTTTTAAAATATCAATTGGGGTATGTGAATGACATGATTTCTTTCATTTTTGCTTTTTTTTTTTTTTTTTGGTGAGGCAGTCGGTGTTAAGTGACTTTCCCAGGGTCACACAGCTAGTAAGTGACAAGTGTCTGAGGCCAGATTTGAACTTAGGTCCTCTTGACTCCAAGGCCGGAGCTCTATCCACAGCACCACCTAGCTGCCCCAACATTATTTCTTTCAAATGCCAGTGAAGCACTATAGGGGAACATGCTAATCTCTATATGAAATTTTAAAAAAAACCCCAGCAAAATGCAGTTATCAGACTTTGGTGTGAATTTCACATGGAGTGAGTCAGACCAGAGTAGGATGTGGCTTGAGCTAAGGAGATAAAAAGAGGAGGAAGAGCTATTGTAATAGAAAAGTTCAGGTATAAATTAGATCTGAACATTTTTTCCTAGATGGCATACTTAGTGTTCTATAATTGTGCAAAGTACTGGGCTTCTCCTAGGGAATAAAGTAGTAGAAGTTTTCCTTTGGGTTGTTTCTGTGTCTCAGCCCAACTAGAGTGATAGTAACATTAGCCACCTAGTTGAATTCCAAGCCATTTTATGTTTGGCATCTGGGAATTGCTACTCCATAACTTCCTCGTTAACCTTAGATTTATATACGGCTCTTCTGAATGAAAATTACAGACTTACTAAGACTTGTATAATCTTTTCAATAATGCATTTTGTTTTGTGCCTGGCAGGGAATTACATGATCTATAGTAATTCTAGCTAGTGAGCTAGGTATACATCATCCTGACTGCCTGATCTGGGAAATTGTGTATGCGTGTGTGTATATGTGTGTAAAACAATTATTCTTTCCTCATAACTACCTCTTTATTTTAATTAGAGAGCAAGAATTTGTGATTTTGTATATGAGGAAAATGTATAGCAAAGAATTCTTACTTTAGTTTTTATTTCAGGTGAATAGTATTGGAATTGGGCTAAGATTTTAGCCATTGGAAAGTAGCTTTTATTTGTAGGATTTTGTTCCTGCCAGAAATAATATTTTCCCTCTTAATTTTACTTCTGTTACTTTTTAAGAACAACGTGAGTTCCCTCTGGTGGTCAGCATTGTTCTTGCCAGGTCTTCTGTCTGGGGAACAAAGATAACAGGACTTACTAGTAGATAAAAGCATACGTGCCCTACGTTTCAGGGGGAATGTGATCAAGTCATCATGATTTTTTAAAAATCAATTTATTTTTAGTTTTCAGCATTAACTTCCATAAACTTTTGAGTTTTCAATTTTCTCCCCCTTCTTCTTTACCTCCCTCCCCAGGATGGCGCGCAATCTGATGTAGGCTATACATATACATTCCTATTAAACATATTTTCACGTTAGTCGTATTGTAAAGAAGAATTAGAACCAATAGGAGGAACCACAAGAAAGAAGAAACAAAACAAAACAGAAGAAAAGAGCAAGTAGTATGCTTCAATCTGCATTCAGACTCCGTAGTTCTTTCCCCGGATATGGATAGCATTTTCCACCATGAGATTTTTGGACATGTCTTAGATCCTTGCATTGCTGAGAAGAGCGAAGTCTGTCAAAGTTAATCATCACACAGTGTGGCTGTTACTATGTACCATGTTCTCTTGGTTCTGCTTACTTCACACCATATCAGTCCATATAAGTTTTTCCAGGTTTTTCTGGAGTCAGCCTGCTCATCATTTCTTACAGCACAATAGTATTCCATTACATTCACATACCACAACTTGTTCAGCCACTCCCCAATGGATGGGCATCCTCTCAATTTCCAGTTCTTTGCCACCACAAAAAGAGCTGCTATAAATATTTTTGTGCATATAGGTCCTTTTCCCATTTGTATGATCTCTTTGGGATACGGCCCTACAAGTGGTATTGCTGGGTCAAAGGGTATGCACATTTTTATAGCCCTTTGGGCATAGTTCCAAATTGCTCTCCAAAATGGTTGGTTCGTTTCACAACTCTACCAACAATGAATTAGTTTCCTGTTTTCCCACATCTTCTCTAACATTTATCATTTTCCTGTTTTGTCATATTAACCAATCTGATAAGTGTGAGGTGATACCTCAGAGTTATTTTGATTTGCATTTCTCTAATCAATAGTGATTTAGAGCATTTTTTCATGTGACTATAGATGACTTTAATTTCTTCATCTGGGAACTGCCTGTTCATGTTTGACCATTTATCAATTGGGAAATGACTTGTATTCTTGTAAATTTGACTTAGTTCCCTATGTATTTTACAAATAAGGCCTTTATCAGAGACACTGGTTGTAAAAATTCTTCCCCAGTTTTCTGCTTCCCTCCTAATCTTGTTTGCACTGGCTTTGTTTTGTGCAAAAACTTTTCAATTTAATATAATCAAAATTATCCATTTTGTATTTCATAATGTTCTCTATCTCTTATTTGGTCATAAATTCTTCCCTTTTCCTTAAATCTGACAGGCAAACTATTCCTTGTTTTCCCTGTTTGCTTATAGTATCACCCTTTATATCTAAATCGTGTACCCATTTTAACTTTATTTTGGTATGTGTTGCAAGATTTTGGTCTCTGCCTAGTTTCTGCCATACTCTTTTCCAGTTTTCCCAGCAGTTTTTGTCCAATAATAAGTTCTTATCCTAGAAGCTGGGGTCTTTGGGTTTATCAAACAGTAGATTACTGTAGTCATTGACTTCTGTGTCTTGTGTACCTCACCTATTCCACTGATCCACCACTCTATTTCTTAGCCAGTAGCAAGTAGTTTTGATGATTGCTGCTTTATAATACAATTTAAGATCTGGTATGGCTAGGCCACCTTCCCCTGCATTTCTTTTCATTAGTTCCCTTGATATTCTCGTCCTTTTGTTCTTGTGGATGAATCTTGTTATTATTTTTTTCTAGCTCTGTAAAATAATTTTTTTGGTAGTTTGATCGGTATGACACTGAATACATAAATTAATTTGGGTAGAATTATGATTTGTACTATGTTAGCTCAGCCTACCCATGAGCAACTGATGTTTTTCCAGTTATTTAGATCTGACTTTATTTGTATGGAAAGTGTTTTGTGGGGGCAGCTAGGTGGCGCAGTGGATAGAGCACCAGCCCTGGATTCAGGAGGACCTGAGTTCAGATTTGGCCTCAGATGCGTAACACGTACTAGCTGTGTGACCCTGGGCAAGTCCACTTAACTCCATTGCCTAACCAAAAAAAAAGAAAGCGTCTTCTAATTGTGTTCATATAGTTCCTGGGTTTGTTTCAGCAGGTAGACGCCTAAATATTTTATAATGTCTACGGTAACTTTAAATGGGATTTCTCTTTCTATCTCTTGCTGTTGGGCTTTGTTAGTAATATATAGAAGTACTGATCATTTATGTGGGTCCTGCACCTTTGCTAAAGTTGTTTATTATTTCTCTAAAATTCTGTGAGTCTATCCTCATGTCATCTGCAAAGAGTGGTAGCTTTGTTTCTTCTTTGCCTATTCTAATAGCTTCGATTTCTTTTTCTTCTCTCATTCAGTCGTAATGTTTTTATATATATTGTTGTTTAGTTGTTCCAGTTGTATCTGACTCTTCATGACCCCAGTTGGGGTTTTCTTGGCAGACATTTCCTTTTCCAGT